TTCATGTCCATCACTCCATTCAAGTCTGTGAACCGTCTCAGACCCTCTTGTTTCAGCCGAGTGCGACTTGATCGAGATGTCCTTGGGGATGGAAAATGTATCCAGAAGTCGTTGCTTGGTGGCGTCATGCGTGCAAACTTTGCATTGACAATTGTCCCGCAACCAGATATTTGGTATCAGTCTGTCGGCAAGAAACATCTTCCCGTCTCGCACTTCAGGGCGCGTCTCGGACTCGGCGCGCTTGTTGAACGCATGGGGGATAGCCCCAATTCGCACTTTGTATGGGCTTACTTTCCGGATGATGCGTTGTCGACCGTAGATCTGATCAAGCTCATTGGTAAGTCTCCTAATGTCAGAGTGTAGTTGCCTGGCTTTATTCATGTTCTCTAAACCAAGGGAGGCGTCCAGACCAGGTGTATCTGGAGCCCGCTGTTCAACCTTCTCCTGTTGCGGAGCATCTGTTTGTTTCTCATCTTGCGTACTTTGCTCAATGGCCGTATCAACGGCGGATGACGAGTTGAGTCGAATTGACGCCTAGTAGTTGGGTTAGTACTGTAAAAAATGTGGTGTGTTTAGACCAACCTGTAGATATGGTGGGTGAAGCGCGGCACGTCGGGCGAAAGGTGTGGCATGAGCGCACCGGAGTGCTCTTGCCGTAAACATGACACAAAATTATCAAGCACGAAAGGGGATCAATCAGAATCCCTGCACACGAGATACCAAAGTCAATAGCATGTAGTGCAACAAAAGAATGTGGTGGGTTGGTGGTAAGGAGATTCGGATGTCAGGAGCTCAGTATGGCAAGGGCGCTCTCTAACCACCGAACACGACCTCGGATCTTTGCACCACAGCTTAATCCTATGACTGGGCGAACCTCCCGTGTTCAAGACTATACTAGAACTGGGCTAGCGTTGATTACAGTGCTTGACCACACTGGCATGCCTTGCGATCCGAAGAGCGAATTCTGACAAGGTGGGAAAGGAAGGCAAAAAGATGCAGAAAGACGCAAAAAGAAGCCGACAAGACCCCGGCAAAAAGAGCGACACCTGTGGGACTCGAACCCACAATCTTTGCCACCGGAAAGCAACGCCTTACCATTAGGCCAAGGTGCCTCGTTGGAGAGAGGATGAAGATTTTGGAATCTCGAACGTTTATATCGCGAGGGTTTTGTGGCCTCCTCAACGACAAGCGCAACAATTATACTGTCAGTATACGTATTCTCGAACAGGGCCTGAGGCCACCATAACAAACAGTAAGTAGCTCCATGTAGGCATCTAAGATATTTATTAACCGACGTTTAGACACCTCGCTTGCATGCGAATGCTCCAACCCATGTGTAGGCGTTGACGCACACGAGATGGTGTGTACCTAAAAGCCCATCGCAGTTGCTTCCTGTTTCCCTCACCAGTACGATCACCATCACCTCACATGAGACATCTCCATTAAACACCATCATTGCTGCTTAGCAAACTGAACCTACTCAGCATCATCGTACTAATCGCACGTGTTGAATCTTGTCCATACCTGCGGGCGGGTGTTCGCACAGCTCCTTTCGTATAGAACTGCATGATCTCTAAATTTACCCTCTAGTAGCATCGCCGTATCCTTGATCAAGCTGCAGACTGACACAATGACACTTCCCATCTATCGCGCGTTGTTGCGCGCGACGGATCGGCGTTCACAGACGCCAAGACAATCGGAGCTAGGGTCTCTCACCGTGCACTGGTGCGTACCTTCGTAATCCATAGCTGCCTCTACAGCTCCACATCACCGCCGCACCACAACAACCTCTCTGTCGGCATCATTCACCACCATCACTCTTGCACCGATCCAGTCATCTCTATCACCCCACACCGCGTAACGCCGCTCTCACAACACCGCCACCATGTCCACACTCGAAGATCTCGACGACCTTGAGCGCCACGAGAAGGAAGAGAAGAAAGACGATGACAAGAAAGACGGAGGCAAGGACGGAAAGAAGGCTGATGGCGATGCAGAGATGCAGGATGCGGAACCAGAGGAGGAGCAGCTCGACGAAGAGATCCTGAACTCAAGCACACGAGACATCGTCGCGCGCAAACGGTTACTGGAGAACGACATGCGCATCATGAAGAGCGAGTTCCAACGGCTCACACACGAGAAGGCTTCCATGAACGAGAAGATCAAGGACAACCTAGAGAAGATCGAGAACAACAGGTATGTCATCGACGTGACTGCTGTCACCCCGCAGCGCGCTGGACTGAAGCGACTTCGTGGACAACACACTGACATCGTGTAGGCAACTACCATACCTCGTCGGAAACGTTGTCGAGATCCTTGATCTTGATGTCACAGAAGAAGCGGCCGAGGAGGGAGCAAACATTGACCTAGACGCCACCCGCGTTGGCAAGTCGGCGGTCATCAAGACCTCAACTCGGCAAACCATCTTCTTGCCTCTCATCGGTCTAGTAGACCATGAGAAACTGAAGCCCGGTGATCTCATTGGTGTGAATAAGGACTCATATCTCGTCCTCGATACCCTACCCGCAGAGTACGACAGTCGGGTGAAGGCTATGGAAGTCGACGAGAAGCCAACTGAGAAGTACACCGATGTTGGAGGTCTTGACAAGCAGATTGAAGAGCTCGTCGAGGCTGTAGTATGGCCTATGAAGGAGGCCGAGCGCTTCAAGAAGATTGGCATCAAGGCGCCGAAGGGTAAGCAACTCTAATGCTCATCTCTAAATACGTACTAACGATCACAGGTGCACTGATGTACGGTCCTCCCGGAACTGGAAAGACCCTTCTCGCCCGAGCCTGCGCTGCCCAAACCGACGCCACATTCCTCAAGCTCGCCGGCCCACAGCTCGTACAAATGTTCATTGGAGATGGTGCGAAGTTGGTCCGCGACTGCTTCGCCCTGGCGAAAGAGAAGGCACCCTCAATCATCTTCATCGACGAATTGGATGCTGTTGGCACAAAGCGTTTCGATTCCGAGAAGTCCGGAGACAGGGAGGTGCAGCGAACTATGTTGGAGCTGCTGAACCAGCTGGACGGTTTCGCCTCCGACGACCGTGTCAAGGTTCTTGCAGCGACGAACCGAGTCGATGTCTTGGACCCCGCTCTGCTCCGTTCTGGACGTCTGGACAGGAAGATCGAGTTCCCGCTACCAAACGAGGAGGCCCGCGCACAGATTATGCGTATCCACTCGCGGAAGATGACTGTCGACGACGCTGTCAACTGGCAAGAGTTGGCTCGCAGCACTGACGAGTTTGGTGGTGCGCAGTTGAAGGCTGTTTGTGTCGAGGCTGGTATGATTGCTCTCCGGACTGGTCACCAGAAGATCAGCCACGAGCATTACGTCGATGCTATCGCTGAGGTACAGGCAAAGAAGAAGGACACAGTAAACTTCTACGCCTAAGGTGTAGTTGGGTGGTGGTGCAGCCGCTTGCATGCGTGCACTCTCATGCCGGGCTTGTAATAATACTTAGACCTTCAGCATAGTACCAGAGCGGAAATGACGATTATGAATAACAAGGGTTGGGTTTCAGTTATTTGTTGTGAGTTGATTGGAATATAGCGTGAACAGCACATGGCCTCGAGATATTCAGACATCCTACACTACGTTTACCCCAACCTTGGAATACTGATACAGATGATGGTTAAGGGTCTTGAAAATAGCCAGTCTGAGGGTTCGAGTCCCACCACGATACCGATAGCAAAGACTTGCAGAATTTCGATACACTTGCATCTCGCACATCACAACTCTTGAAAGCCGTCCCCAATGTGGCGATATGTAGGTTCTAGGACGAGATAAAGATGGCATCGTTACGACGTAAGCGAATAACGTACCGGAAATACCTCTTCCGTTGCTGACATCCGCTCTCCATCCTACAATCACGCTTTATACTGGTGAGCCACAGTGCTGGTCAAAGACTTCTCCTTGATTCAACACCAGTGGCACATGGAGGTCAGCCGGCACATCCACCAACCGGCGACGCAAGGGTTTCTAAGCAAACGCGCATGGAAGAAGAACAAGCTCAGCGACAGCGAGTTGGTTCTGACCTTCAGGTGTATTGAAGAGACACCTCGCTGATACAACAATTCTATGAGCTTACCAGGTGGTATAGCCGCGCCTCAAGTCTCACGCATGGCGAAGAGGAGAATGAGCCTTTGATCTAGATTGCGGCCTAGTCTTGGTTCAGACTGGTCATTGAAGATGTACTCTGGTATACAGGATGATTACAATACCTTCAAGATGGTTCGCCGGAGTGTCTGGTGCGTCCTCACGTCTCACACCTAGCCAACCCGCCCGCGCAAGGCTGGCAGCTGCCGACATCGTCCGGGATCATCACTTGCACCCGATAACTGAAAGTGACTTGCATGTAGGAAACAACGCCGAGCCACGGTCGCGCTCCTTCCATGCGTTCGACGTCCCTGCATTCTGGCACGCCCTCCCTCACGCTCTCTGATTGGCCGCCGACCCACCTCAACCATCCCCGTCTCAACACCAACATGCCAGGCACGCCTCACCCACGCGCAACAACACCACCACCCGATAGGTCGACTGACGTCTTTGTTCCCTCTCTAGACTCTTGCTATTCAAGATCTGGAGATACTTTCGGTTCTATTAGGACCCTGCATAGCCGCCTCTAGCGGTGGTGCGGTAGTCTACTCAGGGCAGTTCCGTAATGCTGATAGTAAGGAAGGTAGGTTTCTCTGGTAGGCTGTCTGGTGCTGTTTGAGCGATCTTCAGAACATGTGGTGAGGGCTATTGGCTCGTAGGTGACGCGAGACACGAGGACGAAGCCGTACGCCAGGCTCTGCAGCGGGGTGACCTTGTCTATTGGGGCATGCGGGTATGTATGATGACCGAACCGAAGTCGGAATGATGCTTGGGGGACTCGGAATGAGGGCTCATATAACCCCTCCTTGGTGTTTGTGGGGTTTCTTTTGTTTTGTTGTCGTTCCCCCCTCTCCTCTCTTGATCATTGCTTCTACTGTCTTGTTGTGAAGTCGCAGCTATGCAGGCTCTCTCAAGTTTTGTTCCAAGTGACCCGTTTCACCAACTTACGATTACGCTGTGCCTCGTTGGTGTTTTCCTTACGGTGGTGTTTGCTCTTGCTTTCAGGCCGAAGAGCAAAGATCAGGCGCCTAGCACGTTCGAAGCATACCTCAAGTTCATCTATGGGTGTTTCTTGAAGCCTCATACTGGAGACGGATCTGGAAGTCAGCAAGATGCTTTGGTACGTTGAAGAAGGGACAGAACTGGGAACTTGTCTAATCAACTGAACAGGAGAGCTTCTACAAAGCTCAAGCCGACGTCTACGATGCCACCCGGCTCAAGCTTCTTCGAGGCCGTGAGGATGTGTTGGGACTGGTCGCTGCGCAGCTGAAGCACCGTACCGAAGCGGGCCTAATCTCGCAACGACCAGTTTGGGTTGATGTACGTGACAAGAGGCTTGGATGATGGTCGATGTGCTAATGATCGCAGATTGGCGGAGGAACTGGTCACAAGTAAGTACTCAGTAGTCAACACTAAGATCATCTTCCTGACTCAATATCAGTGTTGAACAAATGAATGCCTTCGTTCCTGTTGCGAGCTTCTTTCGTGCCGTCTGTAAGTCAGAAGAAATCAACCCACAAGCCTTTTTTGACTCTTGCAGATGTCGTCGACCTCTCCCCCTCCCTCTGCGATATGGCCCGGAAAAGGTTCGCCCGTCTCGGCTGGACAAACGTCAAGGTTATCTGCCAGGATGCGCGCGCCTTCCGTCTCCACGAACACGAACCACAAGCGTACGAACGCAAGGAAATGATCTCCAAAGAGCAAACTGTTCGCGACCTCGACGAGAACGCGGATGCTGGTGGTGCTGAGCTTGTCACTATGAGCTATGCTCTCAGCATGATCCCCGAATTCTACCCCGTCATCGACTCGATCGATAGCTTGATGAGCCCTAATGGTGTCATCGGTGTCGTGGACTTTTACGTACAGAACCAGGTCGACTTCATGGGCAGAAACTACATGGGTGGTGCTATTGATCGTCACTGCATGTGGATTTCACGTGTATTCTGGCGGACATGGTTCGAGATTGACCGTGTCAATCTTGAGCCTGCACGACGAGTATGCAAAATCTCCATGATACAAGCGCAGCTTCTAATAATTTGTAGGACTACCTGGAGTACCGCTTTGGTACAGTCCTTAGTATCAACGCTCGCAATAACTTCTTCGGAACCGGTATCAAGCTCCCCTACTTCATCTGGCTTGGCTGCTCAAAAGATCATGGCGCGTCTACGCAGAAGCTCGCTGAGATTGATGCCGCTGCTACTGAATCGCCTTACCTCACGGCTCTTGATCTCCAAACAGGAGCTACGCAGACTGACGTCGAAGTTCACTCAAAGGCCTACGAGTCCGCTGTGGTGAACCTACAATCCAGCCTCCCACTCCCGGCAACATGGTACCAGAACCACCACTGGCGCATCCACTACGACTCTTCTCTGCCCAAACACACCCGATTCAACGACTCGTACATCTACGCATTCACATGGGAAGACGACGTAGCAGATATGCGCCTCCTCAAACCCACCTCCAACGACGTCGTCCTAGCAATCGGATCAGCCGGCGACAACATCCTCGCCTTCTGTCTCGAGAACTGCCGCCGCGTCCACGCCGTCGACCTCAACCCATCGCAAAACCACCTCCTCGAGCTCAAAGTCGCCGCCTTCACCGCGCTCCCCTACCAAGACGTCTGGAAGCTCTTCGGCGAAGGCAAGCACCCCGACTTCCACAACCTCCTAATCCAAAAGCTCAGCCCGCACCTCTCATCCGAAGCCTTCCAATTCTGGCTGCACAACGGGCCTTCGGTATTCTCCTCTTCCTCGTCAAAAGGCCTCTACTACTCCGGCGGCTCCGGCAACGCCCTCTCCATCGCAGGCTGGCTCTTCCACCTCCTAGGCATGACCTCGGACGTCCAGAAACTCTGCACAGCATCCACCCTGAACGAACAACGAGAAATCTGGCAACGCTCCATCAAGACCGTGCTGCACTCCAAGATCCTCACCTGGGCCATCCTCGGCAACGAGAAATGGCTTTGGAAAGCGCTCGGCGTGCCCCCCGCCCAACGCGCCGTCATCGAAGCCGATTTCAAGAAAACCGACGACTTTGACGAGACGAAGACAGCTTCGGTGCCCAAGTCAGATGCAGCAGCAGACTACATGGCGTTCCACGAAGAACCCTCTGACGATGCGCTCAAATCGAGTTCTGGAAACGCGATTTACGAATACGTACTCAACACCTTTGAACCCGTCATCAACACCACCTTGCTCTCTACATCAAACCACTACTACCTCCTCACCCTCCTAGGCCACTACACACCAACATCCCACCCCACATATCTCTCCCCGAAATCGCACATCAAACTCAGTAAACCCAACGCGTTCAACGGCCTCCGCATCCACACGGATGAGATCTCCGAAGTCATTGCTAGAATGCGACCTGGTACGCTCACCATCGTCGTGGTGATGGATAGCATGGATTGGTTCCCACCGAGCGGCCAACAAGCACTCAAACAGATCCGGGCGCTGAACCGCGCGTTGAAAGTCAAAGGACGGGTTATGCTCAGGTCTGCGGGGTTGGAGCCGTGGTATATCAAGGTGTTTGGCGAGTGTGGGTTCGCGGTTAAGAGGGTGGCTGTGAGGGTGCCGGGGAGCTGTATTGATCGGTATGTTGATCTCCCTTGGATGTCCTGAAGACGTACTTACTAACTGATGATTGTAGGGTTAATATGTATGCATCTACGTGGATTTGCACAAAGGAGGTGGGGATTGAGCGCGAGGATGTCAAGGTGGGGTTGCGGAAGACGAGTTTGGCGGAGTTGAAGCTTGAGGCTCCTGCTTTGCGTATGGAGTAAGGATTTCCTTCGTCTCTTTCTTTTTGTTGCCTTGTGTCGTAGCATCGGTGGCTGCTTGTCGTTCTTTTCCTTGTCCCAAGCTGTTTTCCACATCAGTAGTTGTTGCCAGATACCTAGAATCCTCTCTTTGCACGTTGATTCACCTGTGCATGCGTACATAGTACATTGTCCTGATATTAAAGATATAAGCTTCTTGGTTTTCCTGCTACGTGTACACATGATATAACATCCAACGCGTTATCGTGGCAGCACCCCCTCCCTAGAGCAACCTCGAGTTGCGAAGTATGAAGCTCGAAGTCTATCGCGGACCGGAAAAAGACGCCTATGCCCAAAAACAGCCGTTGATGGCAACCTTCCCAAAGTTCCAGACCGTTATCCGACGAAGTGAAAGCAGATGGTCAGTCGATCGATCGACCCGACTTAGTTGGCGTTCTGGTACCGAGTCTTTCCTACGGTGAAAGGGACGTAGCGGTACTTGATCATGTGTTGAATCTGTCGTCGCACTACACCAATGTCAGCCTAGAACCCATACGCACATGCCAGAATCAACTTACTCGTCAAGCCAAAAAGAATCAACCAGTAAACAACCAACACCGGCCAGAAGACGGGCAGGTTGAAAATCTCAAACCAGCTGCAGAAGAAGCCAATAGCAATCGCCTTGGTAGTCGAGTACCAGAACTTGAACTCGGGCAGCCTGCGGACAAACGGCCTGAACTCCTGGTCCTCCTTGGTGGGCAAGCCGCTCGCATTGCCGTCCTCCATGCCCTCATCTTGCTCGAGCGCGGGGTCGAATTTGGGGGATAGGAAGGCGAGGAAGAGGTTCAGCAGGTAGATGCCGAGCGAGTATGCGACGATGTACCAGCCCTGGGCGAAGAAGATGCGCAGGCCGAAGAGCAGGAAGAGCGTGGCTGTGCCGCCCCATCGGTAGGGCGTGTAGGGCGTTGACTTGTCGAGGTACGTCTGGAACAGGCGCCCGTACTTGGTTGTTTGTGCTGTGACGGCGCTGAAAGGGGTATCTGGCTCAGGCGAGTCCATGGTTGCGTGGCGGCGGGGGTGGGAGGGTGTGTGGTGATGGCGGAGGGGTGGAGTGGGTGCGCCGCGTAGGAAGGCGTGGGTGGGTGAATGCGGAGGCGACGTCTTGTTGAGGGAATCGTGTCAAAAAGTTGAGATGCGTCGCAAGGCTGGGGCTTAGATCGCCGGCGCCCGCCCAGAACGCGCTAGGACCAAGGTAGCGAGTGCCGCTAGTCGCGTCGAAGTGGGATGTTGGTACGGGCATGTTTTGGCGGGCGCGCTTTACCGAGGTGCCGATGCTACCCACTTGTTGGAGCTCTGAGCTCATCTGCTCTCTTTCGATGTAAATACATGTTGCCTGAGCTGGACTCGTAGTCAAAGCTCAATTCTACACACTCAATATGCAGGCATTACGATCAACACCGAGGGTCGCCTCTCAATTCCGGTCTACCGGTCTACCCAGACTTGCGAGGGGATATGCGACAGAGAGGTCCTTCGAGCATTTGCTTGTATCGGTGGCCAGACCTGGTGTTGGTTTGAGTATGTTACCACCTTCTATTCAACTACTATCATACACTGCTAGAGAGATGTGTTTGGACTAACAACCCCAAGTCCAGATCAACCGTCCCAAAGCCCTCAACGCCCTCTCCACCCCCCTCATTCTCGAGATCAACCAAGCCCTCCGCGACTTCCAAGCCTCAAAATCCATCGGCGCCATCGTTCTCACCGGATCGGAAAAAGCATTCGCAGCTGGTGCCGACATCAAGGAAATGAAGGACCTTACCTTCAGCGACGCATACGGCAAAGACTTCATAGAGTCCTGGTCCGACCTCGTCACATTCCTCAAGAAGCCGCTCATCACCGCTGTCAACGGATACGCGCTAGGTGGAGGTTGTGAACTCGCCATGATGGGAGACATCATGTACGCCGGACCCAAGGCCGTGTTCGGACAACCCGAGATCAAGCTAGGCGTCATACCCGGTGCAGGTGGCTCGCAGCGCCTTACCAAGGCAATTGGAAAGTCAAGAGCCATGGAAGTCATCCTCACTGGCGACAACATCACCGCGCAACAAGCAAGCGACTGGGGTCTTGTTGCAAAGGTGTTCGAGACACCTGAGGAGTGTGTTAGCGGTGCGATCAAGACGGCGGAGAAGATTGCAGGGTACAGCCAGATTGCTGTCAAGGCAGCCAAGGAGGTTGTGAACAAGAGTCAGGAACTTGGTATTAGGGAGGGTGTGGAGTATGAGAGGAGAGTGTTTCATGGTCTGTTTGGAAGCCAGGATCAGAAGATTGGTATGGCTGCTTTTGCGGCGAAGGAGCAGGCTAAGTGGACGAACAAATAGATGTTTGTAGGATAGATGAAAGGAAGCAGATCACGTCAACCAAAAAAACCGAACAGGCCCGATGCCTACATTATCATAAAAACCTACAAGATAGGTGACCTGGCGTTGATGTAGGCTTTAGACCTGTTCAGTTTTTTTCTTGTATGAGGTGAGATGATTGAAATCGCCTTGAACACATTTGTTAGTGCATGCGGGTTTCTACGAGGAACTGTGTGACCCAGAATACCAAGCTTAGTTTAGCACTCGAAAATGGGCTGTACTACGCGCTAATTCTTCGATACCATTCTGGCATGCGTACTAGAGAATCGCGACCCCAATTCCATCGCATCTCAATGAAGCTACGCGTGCCTCGGCAGCACCCGATAAGCTTATCGGCCGCACCTGATAACCCGCGCACGCACGCGCGTGAGATGACGCGAGTACATGTGGGGAAACTCTGGAACACTACTCCATCTGACATGCCGCTACTCTCCCAGACAACTTCCTTTCCACATGCCCAACCCTCACCATGGAAGCGACACCGCCATGGTTACGCGACGCCCTCCGCTTTGCTCTAACAGCGACAGCATCGACTGAAGCCCCCTGGTGGGCCCACGACTACGACGCCTTCAAAGCCGCCGGCGGAGGGGACCTTGTCGATCCGGATGACCCTGGCAAAGACCCGCGGTTCCGCAAACTCGTCGAAGCCATATTGTTCAGTCGGAGGTTTCTGAACACATACAACTTGGTGCTGTTGGGCGTGCTGCTGGTCTTCACAGTATGGCATTGGTCGGAGAAGATCGTGCTGCACCGGCAGAAGAGGCGCATAGTCAGTACAACGAAGGGGGATGATGAGACGGCGCATGAAGAGGAGGCAGAGGCCTGGAGTAGCTCGAGTAGTACTATTGAAGGAAATGCGACGCCCCCCGATACCACCGCCGCGAAGAAAATAAACGATGCCGATGAAGCGAGCCCTCTTCTTCCTTCGCAGCGACCCCGACGCGTGACGAGATCTGTAGTATGGCGTCCTTACTACATGCTCAAGTCCGCGCTGCAATACCAACCCCGACCTATACCTGTTGTCAACAAAATACTACCTACGAACGCCGTCTCGCTGCTCGTCCTCGCTTGGATCGGTCTGAATATCTTCTACAACTTCTACCGCATGCCGCTCTCCTTCATGTACCTCTTCGTCTTCGCCGACCGCTGCGGAATCATCTTCATCATGAATCTGCCCCTGCTATACCTACTCGCCGCGAAGAACCAACCGATAAAGTTGTTGACGGGATACTCGTATGAAAGTTTGAACATCTTCCATAGGAGAGTAGGAGAGCTCATGTGTCTGGAGGCGTTCTTGCATTTCCTCGGTATGGTGGCTGTGTGGTATGGCATGTTGAGGCATCTGGGTTTTACGCTGGCGAGATTCATATTCAACCGCGTTGTGCTGTTAGGTCTAGCCGCGCTGATTGCGTATGAGTTGATCTACTTCACGAGCTTGGGAAGCTTCCGAAAGCGGTGGTATGAGATCTTTCTGGGCCTACACATCGTACTTCAGGTCGCTGGATTGGTTTTCCTATGGTTTCATCATCACACCTCACGGCCATACGTTGGCGTGTCCCTCGCCATCTTCCTCATCGATCGACTAGTCTACCGTATGTGGCTGAAGTCCAGTACCCACCCCGCAACACTAGAAATCCTGGAAGATGACGAGACCCTGCTGCTTTCAGCAAACTGGGAAGTCGCCACGAAGAAATCCGCGATCCTAGCCAAGAATATGACACAAGGCTGGAAACCAAACGAACACATCTTCATCTCCGTCCCATCCCTCTCCCGCAAACACGGCATACAATCCCACCCATTCACCATATTCTCCGCCGCCCCAACAACATCAACGCAAGACGGCGACGGAAAACACGCCTGGTTCTCCCTCCTGATCCGCGCCCAATCCGAACCAGGCTTCACACACAGCCTCCTCCGCCACGCCCGCGCCTCCCCAAACCCAACCACGCAACTCCGCATCCGTCTCGACGGCCCCTACGGCTCATCCCACGCCCTCGACCTTTTAGAATCCTCATCAACAGCCATCCTCATCGCCGGCGGATCCGGCATAGCAGTCGCGTACCCCCTCCTCTACGCGCTCTTACAACCCTCGCCCACCGACCCGGAATCCACTCTCAGATCCCAGAGAAAAGTAAAATTACTCTGGATAACGCATTCACTCGACCACCGTCTTTGGATCCCAGAAGATAAATTAAAGGAATTGGAAGACTGGGGGTTAGATGTCCTTATTACACCGCCGACGGCACTTGCAGGCCGACCGGATGCTGGTGGTATTGTTGGGGAGTGGGTTGAAGAGGAGGATGTACATGGGAATGCGAGGACTGGTGTTGTGGTTAGTGGACCCGATGGGTTGGTCAGAGATGTACGGAATACGTGTGCGGAGTTGATTTGGAGCGGGAGGGATGTCGATGTTCAGGTTGAGAAGTTTGGGTGGTAGTCAGTCCGTTCTGGATGCTTTGAGTTGGCTGGCTTTTTTGGTTATCTGGAGTTTGTGGTAGACGGGGTGGGTGGGAATTTTGCCTTTGCTTTTGCTTCTGCTGGTGTCTTCACATTCGCTGTGCGTTTTCTTCTTGTAAGGGAAGAGAGAGCTTAGGGGGAGGGGGGAGTAGAAGTGGCGATGGGTATGCCATATCCGAGTATTGACCAAGTGGACGCTTGTGACGGTTCTGATCACGTTCCAACAGCCGTTAGATAACTTTTTATCTACCGGCTGTTGGAACGTGATCAGAACCGCCACAAGCGTCCACCTCGAGCAGACTGGGATGGAGCTGATGGTGACTGATGGTGACTAACCCTATACCTTCGTACGATTCAATCCACGTGGTTGCCCACCCAAGCAACCAAGTGGATTGGATCTTACGAAGTTATCAGCTTCAACGCAGTCTACTCGTAGTGAATACTCGGGCATAGCATTGAAATTACAAGACCTAGCTATCTTCCGTGTTGAGACCCATTAAGCAAAACCATCTCATCTATGTTTACACAAGCGTTTCCCCACTGAATGCTAATGCCTGTCCCCTAAGTTTGTGATAGACTTGCACGTTAGCCTAGGAAAAAATTAAACACCCTGGAGCCTACATTAATATAAAAACATACCAACCAGGCGGTCTAAGATCAACGTAGGCTCCAGGGTGTTCAGTTTTTTTTATTGTATGAGGTGCTGGGTGGGTAGGAGTTCTGCTTTGCGCTTGTTGTCTGGTCTTGTCACATTCGCTTTGGCGGTCACCTGTGAGAAAGACAGAGAGAGAGAGAGAGAGCATTTGGGTGATGAGAGTGGCGATGAGCAGCCATGTCCGAGTATCCACTACGTGTGCGATTCCATCCGAGCTGATGATGTCCCTATACCACTTGGTTAATCGAGTAGCACGAGGATATCATCAGCTCCGCATGGAATCGCACACGTAGTGGATACTCGAACAGGGCATCGGGATTAGAAGATTCAAGCATCTCCAATCTCACCCATCAGCCAGAACCGTATCATCTAACTTTATAAAAACGTTTCCCCTAAACGCCAATGCTTGTCCCCCAAAACGCCCATGCCAATGCGATTAGCCAAGAGTAGCTTTGCATATCCAAACCCTCCATGCATACACCTCAGCCATCCGCAATGAAACTTATAACCCGGGATGAAATCTACCGTCCCCGAGCAATATCCCTAGTCTCCTTCTTCTTCTTAAGATACGCACTAATCTGCTCCACCTGACTCACAAAGAAACAGCGATTCGCGTCGTTCTGCCACACCAGCACACCGAGCGCACCCGCATACCCCAGCACATCCCTGTACTCTGATTCGGAGCCGAATTCGCGCATCAAGTATCCCGTTGTAGTCTCCACACGCTCGCCTTCGTATTCCCATAGTCGGATTTGATCCATGACCGTGGGCGGGATGTAGGGAATAGTCTTCTGCATCTGAGGATGCGCGTAGGTCGTCAGATAGGAGATGATTTGGCTCGACGTGATGCCTGATTGAACGGCTTTGTGGACGGATTCTTTGGTGAGTTTGCCGGAGACGAGGTTGGGGAAGCGATGTTGGAGTTTGGTGAAGAGGGATAAGATGGCGATTTGGATGAGGCTGTTTGTGTAGGCGTAGAGGCGATAGTTTGTTTCGATGATGATGAAGCCCTTGTTTGCGGATGCCGAGGGGCCGGCGTTGCCTTGGGAGGCTTGGGCGATGTCGTTGGAGGAGGCGGACATGGCGCTGCCGGAATCTGAGGTCAGGGTTGTGGCGAGGCGCGTGGGGTAGAAGGTTCGCGCGTTCTTGTCCGAACGATAGACAAGGCCCATGGAGGAGAGGTCCTCGAGCATCTGAGATTGGGTGGGGGAGAGCGTGGATGTGGAATAGTCTTGGCCTAGTTCTAGGGAACCAAGCATGAAGAGGAAGGATAACACTTCGGTTTCGGACATGCCGAGCTGGGGGTCGATGTCAGATTCGGTGTTCGTTGGCGTCGGCTGAGCTCGAAGAGGACAGTCGTCGCAGGGTTCGTGGGGTTCAATACTTACTTCGTTGGTCATTTTCAGGTAGACGATGAGCAGACTCCAGACTTGGGCGTTCGTCTCTTGCAGCACAAAAGAGAAGCCGTCTTTGGTAATCCTTGGACTTCCATGTACGGTCCTCACAAGGTCACCGGTATGTAGCAGCTTCTTCGTTCCAGGACCGACTTCTGCTCTCTCGATGCTGTCTCTGCTAAGTCCAGCCGCGCCGCTCACCAAGTAATAGAGTATACCCTCCCATTGCGATCGCGAGTATTCGTCGAGGAAGTCGATGCTTAACCGCTTTCCGCCGCTCTCTTCTCTGGTCGCCGGCACGCCGAACGAGCGGTGGGTACCGGAGCCCTCGAGGGCGTTTCGTAGGCTGCCCTGGAAGTCTTTGCTGATAGTCCACGAGAAGGTACCGTCGTCCTGTTTAGCAGGGGCAATGATGTGTAGGCGTTCGAGGGTAAAGAGAGCCTGTTCCTTCTCTTTCCTAGCGGAAGGCTTGAACCAGGCGTCCATGTCGGCTACGGGGAAGGATGAGGGTCTGTAGAGCATCGCAAAGACTATGGATTTGGCTGTGGCTCCGTTAGCGACAGGATCGCGGACGTAATAAATGCACTCACCAAGATGCGGAAGCATGCAGCGGAGCACCGCCAGCACGGTGGAAGGCTGCTCATACAGCCGCCGGTGTGTCGCGACAGGCAGACCCTCGAGGTATTCCAGCGCCTGAGATGAAGATGAAGCCGACATCGTGGGGGATGTGGAGAGGAGGATGTCGGTCTACCGCCGTATTATCATGTTCGGAGAGAAAGGGTCCACGAGTTTGGGCGGTAGCGACGCGTGGGTCGCGCAAGTGGAAGTCGCAGGTCGCCAATCGCCAAAGAAAGTTGATGACGCGCCGAGCGAGCGGAAAGCTCACCCCACAAATTCCGCTCCACCCTGGTCTAGCTTCCGAGGTACGTGGGCAACTGCCGAGCGGAACATCGACATCACTCTTCGCACATCGCGGGGTGAGCATCAACCATGCCGGCGCTGAAGTTTGTGAGATCTGTGGGTTAACCAACCATGTCATTGACCAACCTTATAGATTTACTAACGTGTCGCTAGGTCTGGGAGTCGTTCCGAGCGAACTCTGGGCTGGAGCCAAGGTACCACCAATACCTAAGCATGTATACACGAAGCTAATAAAAGCGACACGAAAGACTACTAGACGGTGTAGGTTATGAGAGTTTATAGCTCTGGTAAGTTGTCATACTAACACCAGTTCTAGCTTCGAGTAACCTCGGCGGTCCCAGGACGCGTCAAGTTTGAGCTAGACATCCAGAAAGAGCACACAGTAAGTACAGAGACTTCATGGCCATACTAATCTCAAAGCACTACAGCAGTCTCAATTTATATATAGTGGTTGAGTGCAACTGACATGTCTTATTAGAACCGCCTTAACATCCTCCACGGCGGCACAATAGCTAGCATGGGTAAGCCGCCCCTCCCAAAACCCCTACTCAAACATCAGTATCTCACAATCCCACCCAGTCGACCTCGGCGGCTCCCTAGCAGTAGCCTCCCGCGGGCTCTTCGCAACAGGCGTATCCACCGACCTAAACGTAACCTACCTCTCCTCCGGCGGCAATATCGGCGACTTGATCAAGGCCGAAGTAACATGCGACAAGTGTAAGTCCATCATATTGGCATGCCTTGCCTTGCTCAAGATACCCGATCGCTAATTACATCACACAGTCGGCAAAACACTCGCTTTCACGTCCATCAACTTCAGCAACAACAAGGGAGAGGTCTTCGCACGGGGAAGCCACACCAAATACGTTGCGTTGGCTTGGAAAGACCCCAACAACATCGTCGAAGAGCTTTCGCCCAAGCCGGAGAAGAAAGAGTAGAAGCATAGATGCGGTGAACATGATGCGTCACGGCGCATATCTTGTGGGAAAATACGATATCTGGTCATAGCACTATGAATACATACGTCTGGTCCTGGGCTTAGTCGATAGGCTTGGGCTTAGCGGCCCGGGGACGAGCTGCTCTTGAAAATCACTTCGAATTATTGGGAGACCTCATTGTTCGACCTTCCAACAATTCGAAGTAATTTCCAATAGCGTTTCGATCTCGGATTGCTAAGCCCAAGCCTATCGGATAAGCCGTTAGAGACCGCGGGCAAACAAGAGCCTACTAACTCGTGATCATTTGCGTGTGAAAGCCATTGAAAACTTCAAATCTCGTGTCGTTACATCAATTGTACAAATGTTATGCTCTCAGCATTCAGCACCTCAGTCAATGACTGTTGCGGTTCTACTCAAGCCATAATGTCGACTAAGAATTACATTACTACCTCTTTGTGGATATCTAACAATGCATGCTTCCCGTGCAGATCACAAAGTTGATGTCTTGACGTTCTCATGCCATGCACAGTATCTCAAACTCTCGCGCTTCCTTTTTGCCCTCGTTGTGTCTCGTAACATCCTTTACTCTTTGCAGGTTTTACATGATTGTAACCTCATCGTCAACTTCCGTGTTCTCGTCCAGGTCGTAACGTGGCCGTCCACCTTCCACAATCTCCATCATCCTGGTAGAATTATGAACCATCCGAGGACGTCTCCTGGTTCCGCTCAGTCGAGTCGTCGGATTTGTTCCAGCCCTTGCCCTTCATTAGGTTGATCAGGCTAGCCTTGCGTGGGGTCAGCTTCCTTACGGCCCGCCCAAAGGCTCCAGCTCCTGCAGAAGTCGTGTTGTCGTCGTGCTTACGGAATGTCATCGGCGGAAGGTCTGCCGGATTGCCGAGCAGTTTGTGCTCTCTCCTGTATTTGTACTCGAACTCCTGGGCGTAGTCAGTAAAAAGGATTCAAAGTCATGACGCAGATAGAACGTACCCAAAGGCTATCTGCTGCTTGATCGGAAGTGCACAGGTCGCGCAGTTGTCCGAGTATGTAGCACGCCGCCAGCTTGTCTTGATTCAATTTGCATTCTCCCAAGAGGCCGGAGGTTTGATGGGCAGGGTCAAGTTCAGCTTTCATTGCATCGGTACGCCATTGATCGTATCGAGACTGAAATCTTCCAGCCCAGTAAAGCGGCGGCATATAGTCTTTGACCTGCAAGATCTCATTGTCAGCAATGTCGGACCTCTCTTGCCCATGTCTACTCCACGAGCGGCTGGAAGAATAGGCCCAGAGGTTTCCAGCGTTGTTTGGTGCTCTGATCGGGACTCTGGTTGGTACTGTGGGGAACGCCGCCAGATTGAAACTAGATCCGGTGAATTTCATTGATGACACAAGCCCTCGTCCAGGCTGGAAAGGTGTATATGTCGGCGTGACACTCAGTCTTTCTTCATCCGTCTCCTCGGGTATCGATTCGCACGAGCTCGCGTCTGATCTGACCCTGACATGTTGAGACGGGACAGTGCTCTTCGGTTTCATGCATACTGACTGGACCAAGTCCGACAGAGACGCTGTCCTGTACTGCTCTGGGATGCGAGGCACTGGTGGAGCGACTTCCATGTGGCTTCCAAAATTATGGAAGGTTTGGGAACGTGGAAGTCTGCTCACCTCATGTGTAGTCATCGCCAAAGCATGGGATGACCGCCAGACGCCGCCCAAGCCATTTGGTGTTCCTAGCGTTTTCCTTTGCTTTTCCCTGTCCGTGGGCAGCCGGGGAAGAGCTGGCCTGACATTATCGCTCGCATCTGGAGCGGGGGTTGGAAGGTCGGTGTTGTGAGGCGGGGCGGCTGCAGAGTTCGATATCGAGGGTGATGCTGCTGGTGTATTTTTTTGTTCCTCCGACTGTATCCGCTTTACTGTCACTGGTGTCTGCTGTGCAAGCTGTGAGCTCATCCTCTTTCTTACTGTGGGTGGAGTCGCGAAGCTAAGCTCCCTGCTCTGTGAATATTGTAATCCCGGACCAAATGACCTTCTACTGTTCAGAGTACCGGGCACTGCAAGTGATTCCCTCTTCAGCGTTCTCTCTTGTATCTGCGACCGCCTGTGTGATATACGTCTGTCCGTCGGTATGTTCTCTTGCAGAAGCGGCCTTTGAGCTACTGGTGATACCACAGACATCTTAGGTCCTGGCCGCCTCGGAGCCATATATCGCGCCGACTGTGGCCCGTTGGCTGTTTTGACGAGATTTGGTGTCGTACGTGAGCGCAACTGATAGGAATGCTTCACTGGAGAGCCATTGTTGGCGGCTGCCAACGCGTGGGCAGTCGCGATGTGTTTGATCTGTTGAGAAGCGCGGTACGAGACGTGTTGCTGAACGTGTTGACGTGGACTAGAGCGACGGCGCTCCAGGGATGGCGGACTGGGAGTAGGAATCTTCGAAGGTACCGAATCTGGCTCTGATTGAGGCATTACCGCAAGAGAATGGGACTTGACTGCGCCTTCTACGTCTGCGGCAAACGACTGAGGCTCAGCCCTAACCGGGAGCGGGATGAAGCTCAGCGTACGCGACCGGGGCAGTGGCTGCGGTGTGGTATCGGTATCTGCGCTTTTGGGTAAAGTCCTGCTGAACGGGACTGTTGCGCACTCTTCGGTCGCATCGTTGGAGTGGTTGGATGGCGCAGAAACACGCATTGGTGAAAGCGCAGCTTCGGATATAGAATTCGTTGTAGTAATGTCGGTTGCAGATGGTTCAGTAACAGCCAATGACGGTACATTCACTTGATGACGTCCTGGGGTCGTCCTTCGCTGCGAGAGGGGATTGGATATGAAAGCGAAGCCATAGCTCAGCTTTCTCCGGAATTTGCTGCTGCTGTTTTCTTGAGGCTCGCCACCCACCGGGAGGTGAGTTGTCGACTTTTCTCTCCAGCCCACCATCGCCGCTGCTCGGTCTTCACTTGGCTGAGCCGTCTCCCACCGCGCGCGAATCTGCTCGAATCTGTGTCGATCTGAATATGTTAGCATGGCTGTAGCGTGGTGTGCAGCGTTTGTGGAGAAGAAGGACTTACCCGCGGAATGTTGTTGTTGTGGATGGTGTTGTCCTTGAGGAGGTAAACAAGGAAGGCACGAAGCAGCCACCTCGGATTAAGAACAACGTCATAGAACGAAAGATGCAGTCGTGACCAAACGACAGGAAAGAGCAACTGCAAACGCTCTTGAAAGCTACAATCGTCCGATCCTTGCCAGTAAACTGCCACGGCACTTGACATCATCCGCGTATACCTTCTTTTGACCAATGCAGAACAATCTTTGGGCCTGTAACCGTAACATGAACAAGACAACACGCTATTGACATAACAAGATAATGGGGATTCAAACACTGGAAAGCACGAACCTAAGACACCATGCTATGCTATGCAACCCTTCCCTCCAGACCACGCCGAAAATGTCGTTACCCGCACATATTACTCCGAGTCACTGTCAATGACAAAGCCAGCCCTCATATTGCGCGCCGCCGCTGGTCTACGCGCTACCGGCGCATCGTCGTCATCATCGTCGTCTGAATCTGCGTCTGGCATTGCAGCATCGCTGCTCTTCGTCGCAGCATCACTCACTGGCTTCCGGGGCGTGTCCGCCTCACTAAGTGCTGCTGTTGCACCAGCGTTCTGCGATGAAAGTGGCGTATCTGTTGTCTCGTCCTCATCCTCATCTCCCTCCTCATTACCATCAACCACGGAAGGAGCCTGACTGCTCTCTGCATCTTCCATATCGTCGTCACTATCGGCGAATGGCGCTTTCCGTTTCGGTGGACTCTTTCTCCTCTTGCTCTTCTTGGCCGGTGCATCAGCTTTTCGCTTCTTGGATGCGACTGGCTCCACGGTTCCAAGTACAAGTGACTTCTTGAACACTTTCATGTTTTCTTCACGGATCGCCTGTTCTCGCGCGAAGAAGGCGGCATCCTTCTCGGCGTCCCAGTCCTCGTCGTCCGAGTCATGCACGTACATTGTACTCAATGCTTTGGCTTGCTTCTCGATTTCCTTCTTCCGACGTGCCTCGGCTCTGCGGTCCTTCTCTTCGTCGTCAAGCTCCACAGGACTATTTCTTCGGCGTCGTCGCTTCAGTGTCTTGCGAGGGGCGTCTGCATCTCTCTCAGTGGGACCACCCTTGGCGTACTCTCCGTGGTCCTCTTCCTCGTCGCGGTCTATGCCGTCAGAGTCATCGTCAAACTCAGCCCGACGACTAGAGCGTCGAGCTGCTGCAGCCTTGCTACGAAGCAGGTCTTCTGGCGCTTTGCCGTCCTCATATGTTGGGGGGTCGAATTCATACTTGCGAATGAGATCAATGGCTTCTTGCAATTGCGTTGAAGTAAGGGATGAAGGTATGATCCATGAAGCGTCCGGATCGTGGTGCTCTCCTGATCTCTCGAAGCCGACCAGGTTCATGAGTAGTCGTAATTTGTTGTCTTTGAACATAGCGACGCGACGTTCTTCCGCATCGTGCTTGATGACTAGACTCGGTTAGCAGACTTCCTCACAGTGAGAGGCATACTTACAGATCGATGGCGGCTTCGAGGTTTCAGTGTCTGGATTCTCAGGTGCCTCGCCTTCTGGACGCTCCTCTACGTCACCCACCAACGCCTTTTGTGCTTCAGCTGCCTCTTCCCACGCCTTGCGCTCTTCAGCTGCCGATGTAAGCACATCGCGTACCCAGCGGAGAGCATCCGACTTTGACTGATTGACAAGAACACCAACAGCGACACCAATCTGATCAGGTAGCTCCATTCCAGGTTTGACCTCAAGCTCTGCCGGAGCTCGTGGCGCTCGAGTGTGTATCTCGCGATCATATCCGTGCTCAAGGAAGAAGATGGTTGCAGGGATCTTGTCAAACAGCATCTCGACTACCAGCTCTGGCCTCTCTTGTACCCTCTTTACAACCTGCCTGAAGAAGTGTTTGACAAAATCATCCCACTCTCTGTAAGCTGGCGACTCTGGATCAAGACCACCTGGACCTTTCATCATCTTGTTGAAAAGCGCCAGGATGTCCACTCTGCACAGCAAGACACCAAGCTCCATCTTGAAAGCGACACGGTGAAAGAAGCGATGCGCACGCTTGAGCTGCTCAGTATCGAGGTCGCTGAAGTACTTGGCAAAGGCAACGAACGTGTTAACGCTACTTTGGTTCGCAAACTTTGCCGAGAACTTCATGAAATCGAACTTGCGTTCAGAAACCGTCTTTTGGGCTTGTTGGAGGTCTTCAGTTTCAGAAACGTTGCCCTCTTCCTCTCCGTCTTCGCCCTGCTTTTCAGCTTTCTTCTTCTTGATCTTTCGGGCTCGCCGTTTCGATCGGATTTGCATGTCAACGTTCTGCTTTGCATAGCGCTCGAGCATCCGCAGAAAGACATGGGAAAGCTCTGTGACCGCATCAAGGTAGCCAAAGCCTTGATCTTTGTATGACCTCAGGATCATGACTATCCTGTCATGTGTTGATTCTTCGTAGAAGATACGGTTTTGAATGTTCTCGGCAATCTCTTGGTCTTCCTCAAGACCTGACTCGGACATCTCATGCACGGTGAGCAAGATTTGCGTGAAGCATTTCAGCCCAGCGTTAAGGTCTCGCCATGCTTTCTCATCTTGACTCTTCTGCATGAAGCGGTTGAGTAGAATGAAGGTCTCCTGATTCATGACTTCGGCTACTAGTCCGTAGCTCTCATCCTCAGCAGACAGAACTTCAGGACTCTTCGGGTCTGCGGCCCTCTCCTTCATCGTCCGCCGCCGTGCGCACTCTGCTCGTAGGAACCACGATACGAGGTAGAAGAACTGCCTTGAGTGTCGTGTTTCCACGCGCTCCGTTTCGCGCTCGATAGCTTTCCGCAGATGCAGGAATAGAGGGTTGAAGGACGAGTCCAGGAACTCCTCGACGAACGCTTTGATATGTTTCCGCGCAGAAGAGGTCAGTGGTACCGGAAGATCGAACTCCTCCCTTTCTTCATCGCCGGCTTGCTTCTTTCCAGGACGGCGGGGTTTATTCCACTTCTTTGTATCATCCATCTTCTGCATGCTAGCCTGAGCCTTCCCTAGCACGTCCTGCCCGGATATAGTTGTGACCTTCTCGTCGTCCCGCTTCATCCAGATCATCGTTCCGAATCGGTTATGCCGGGTTGGTGCGTTGCGGGCGTAGCCTGCAAGCATGGCCTTTTCTTTCTGGATCAAGCCCTTAAGCTCGTCCGTGTTCTTGATGTTGAGCTTCTTGTCTTCCATGAACAACTTCTCAGCATCGATGCCCTTGAGGAGGAAGAACAAGATTTCGAGAATAACAACATCCTGGGTGACAAAGTCCTCCCCGATACTAGACGCTATACTCAGAATCACCTGAAATATGTCCTGCTCGTGGAAAGTATCAATCGTTGCAGATCGAGAGACTTCAGCTTCGTCGGTGTCCATGTGTGCATTGTTCGGGGGCGCGAGCATGGCGATGTTGCGTATGAAGTATAGTGCGATTCGAATAATACCCTCGTCTCGTGGTGTGCGTTCTCGGAGGGGTACGGCCATAGAAGGGAGCGCGATCTTGACAGCAGTCTGGAGGGTTCTGTCTCGGTCGAATTGCAGAATAGCACGTTTGTAGCCAATTTGGGCGAGCCCGATATAAGGCCCATGTCGGTGGTGGTTTACGGTCGCCTCGGTGGGGTCGATTTCATTAGGCCATGTCAAAGGCACGAGAAGTTCCACTGCGGTCGTCAGTACAGTCTCAAGATTCGGAGTATGTTTTCTTACATGTCGCAACCGCAATCTTGTGCTTCCAGGCGCTCTCCATGACAGTTGGTGATATCTTGGCCAATATCTCAAGCAAGTCGCCCTTTACGAGGTTTGCTTCGGCCATGCATCTTGCTACATCGCGTCGATTGTACTGCCCGTCGGCGAACTTCAGCCATTTCCGTAGGTCCTTGAGGCATAGCAGGGCGTCGTGTCCGAGTGCATACGTGCCGTCATCGCCAATACCACCAAGCTGGTTGTATGTCAGTAGCCATTGTGTCAGTGGAAGGAGATACATACAGCAGATATTAGACTAGAGACGTGAGCGCGAACTTCCGGGTTAACGGTGTCCTGCGCCCAGTCGTCCAGCGTTGTCTGAGCCATTGTCGTGGTTGATGCTCAGATTGCCCGCCGGTGTCGCGATGGCCCAAAAGACGCGTCGACGCGTAAAGTGCCACAAGCGGGACAAACCGCGCAAATCCGCCAAGACAGGGCTGATCCTCGCGCCTTCCCGCCGCCAGTCAACGTCATGCCTCGGCTAGCCCGCCGCGGTTCTCATCGGCCTGGGGAAATGTCGTTCTGCATCACATGTTGATCGCGCATCTTTCACAATTCGTGCAATCCTTCGATTAAATACACACGATGTTCTCCGTGGCCTCAAAACAAGTCGCTCGATGCGCTGTGTGGCAGCAATGCCGTGCCTTCAGCTCAACTCCCTCTGTCGGTGCTGCCGCTGAGGTCAAGAAGCTGGGTGTTATTGGAGCAGGCCAGATGGTATGCATCAATGCACCAACCCTACAGCTGTCAATCTAACATGTTCAGGGCCTTGGAATAGCTCTTGTAGCAGCACAGAGGGCCTCAGTACCGGTCCGGTTGATTGACAACTCCCAAGCATCAATCGACAAAGGCCTGAAGTTTGCGGACAAGCTCCTCGAGAAGGATGTTGGAAAGGGCAGAATCTCGAAAGACGACGCCGCAGCGGCAAGAGAACGATTGACTTCCAGCACATCAATGGACGATCTGTCAGACGTCGACTTCGTTATCGAGGCCGTACCAGAGATCCCAGACCTCAAGCACAAGATCTTTTCGCAACTCGCGCAAATCTGCCCGTCACACGCTATCCTAGCTACCAACACATCGTCAATCTCGATCACGAAGATCGCAGCGAGTACTACCACCGACCCAACAGACCTCTCGGCTTCATCGCGCGTCATCAGTACACACTTCATGAACCCAGTACCCATCCAGAAGGGCGTCGAGATCATCACCGGCCTCCAGACCTCGCAAACTACCGTCGAAACTGCAATCGCGTTTTGTGAGAAGATGGAAAAGATTCCGTCCAAGTCCGCCGACAGCCCCGGTTTCCTTGCAAACCGCATCCTCATGCCGTACATCAACGAGGCTGTCATTTGCCTTGAGACGGGTGTAGGCGCCAAGGAGGACATTGATAGCATCATGAAGAATGGAACGAATGTACCTATGGGCCCACTACAGTTGGCGGATTTCATCGGCATCGATACTTGTCTGGCGATCATGCAGGTCTTGTACCACGACACGGGTGATTCCAAGTACAGGCCCGCAGTGCTGCTCAAGAAGATGGTCGATGCAGGATGGCTGGGAAAGAAGAGTGGTAAAGGATTTTACGATTACTAGAAGAAAGAATGTGAAAATGTAGACACTATCATGGACCACCGTATACCCGTGTTCCGAAGTCATGCCCTGCAACCCGTCGCGCCCATGATGTAGCCTGAAGGTGCTCTCCATTGAATCTCATGAGCTCTCATACCTCCAACCCTGCTAATTTCATCATGTCATCCTTCGAGAAGTCACCCATATAGTCACCCATATTCGGGATCTCTGTCTTCATCGAAGGCCCGCCGTCAATCTCCATCTTATCCTCATCGTGCGCACCCATCAGCGGCACCGCCGCTCTCGCCAAACACATAAGCTCACGCTCCATCTCCTCCTCCTCTTCCCTTCCACTACAAACAGCCCAAGTTCCCTTCCCCCACAACTTCTCCTTCAACCAAGCCATCTTCCCCCTCTTCACATCATCCTCCTCCATCTCCGCCTTCAACCCAGTCCCAAACTCCAGCTCGCCCAGCTCCCCTCTCTCTTCATCCTCCATCTCCACGCCACTGAGTCCCAAATCACCCATGTCTTCACACTTGTGGATGAGCGGCGTAACACCTAGTGCCACTGAATCCAGAAAGTGAAGGTGGCGTATCTTATTTCTGGCTTTCTGCGCGCTGGGGAAATAGTAGGTTTTATTGATGGGGGTGCGTAGTTGTGCTCGCGTTCTAAAATGTTGGAAGAAGGGCTTCTTCTTCTGCGCTGCGCTGGTGTTTGGCGGCATCTGTGGGAGTGATTGGGGTGTTGGGAGGTATTGGGTTTTGGCATGGTTTTGCGTGGGTGGGTGAATGGTGAGGCGGCACCCACGCTTGGGCTTCTTTGGCGATGGTGTTTTGGGGGGATGGATGATTAGGCGGCATTTACGTTTGGGCTTCTTGGCTGATGGTGTGGTGGGTGGTGATGCTTCCTCGCCCATTTGAGGAGGCGAGTTTGCGACCATGCGGTCAGGCGAGAGGAAATGCTTCATGATGCTTGATTTTACGGTTTTGTGTTGGTGTTGGATGGTTTAGTTGGGATTCAACTTTCTTTGCGGAATCTTGATGCAGAGGTTTGGTGTGATGGTATGGTCTTTGGAAGTGGACATGGACATAATTTATCTATACCGCTAGCTCGGTATAAAATATGTGAGCGCGCATGGAAACCAAAGTGCACACATGGTAAGCGGAACTAGTCATAGCAGTACCATAGTTGCATTGCTGAGATATTACATTTCTTGCCATATACATCCTACATCACTGGCCGAGAATCTCGAAGTGGATACTGACGTACAACAATATCTGGTACCATAGTTGCGTCACATGAATACTACACCTATTTGCCATATACACTTTTTATCACTGGTCACAAATGTCAAAGTGGACCTTATGTGTGATCAAGTACCATAGTTGCCTTGACTAGTCTACATTTCTCTACCCCAACACCGCCAATCAGCCAAACCCTTAAAACAATCGCAATACTTCCTAGCCGCAATCGTCGCAGTCACTGAGCCCAAACGCCGTACTTCTCAAAACAAATGCCGCAGTCCCCAACCCAACGTCGTAATATGCTCGCCTCGGAGCCCATCACCGCACCCTGACTCATCACACTCCATCCTGCCCAGTGGACTCAGCGATCCACTTACGCTTGAGACTTTTGCGGTCTCGAGGTTTTCCATTTGACGAGAAAGCCTTGTTCGCTAGTTCTTTCGCGTACGCGCTTTCGGTGATCTTCCTGTTTGGCTCCAAAAGTGCGGCAATTCTGACTTGTTCGCAGTGCTCGGCTTGTATTTGACTGATTGTCTTTGGCAGCTTTTGTTCCGGTTGAAGTGGGAGCGTTGCCAGTAAAGCGTCCACTCGGGCCGATCTGTTCATTGGCGGTCTGATGATGTTGTCTGATGGTGCTGCAGTTCCGTCGGTGTAATGTCTCATAAGCTTGTTGTTGTAGGCAGCGTTGATCTCTTTTAGCTGAGGCGGCGGTCTTTGAAGATTTGGTACCCAGCGTTTTGCAGCGGCTTTTCGGAACTTGAGCTTGCGCTCTTCCTCTTTGGAGATGTCTTGCTTAGGGATTTCGAGCTTCAGACGCATTGTAGACTTGTCTGGTGATGATGGTGTTTTCGAAGGGGTCATCAAGCCCGCGCCGCTGTCTCTTCTCGCTTCTGCCGAAGTGCGCTTGAGTGATTGCACTGGCGGCATGTTTGGAACCTAGGAAAAAGCTGAACACCCTGCAGTCTACGTTGACGTTGTGTCACCTACTTTGCACGCTTTTGACTTGATGTAGTCTGCAGACCTGTTCAGTTTTCCCTTTGTCGATTGGTGAGGCGCTGCGGGAGAGGTAAGCGAGTAATGTAAGAACCTCGAGCCTAGACACTGTGAGTGGGATACTAGGAGTCTTGTACCAAACACTTGCGCACACTTACCTTTAATAGGGTTTAGCATGGTGAGGCATTTGCAAGATATGAGCGTGGGGTGACTAGCGTTTCGAGTCATCGAGGTGAAGTTTGTAAGCATACTTAGGTACAATGAAAGTCTACATTGTTACCACTCGCGACCTATACATCCTTGGCATGCCGCAGGCTCCCACATAGCGATTGTAGGACATGCTTGTCGTATGCCAATGGAGATATCCTTCACCATCACTCCTCCTCACTCTCATCCTCGTCTCTCACCTTCTCGCAACCACAAGGCCACAAGTGCGCGACGGCATAGCCAGGGTACTTCTTCGTGAACTCATCGTACCAAATTTGCCATGAGTCCCATGCATCCTTGGTCTCAAGGTCGAGTGTTACCCCCTGGTTCGGCTTCGGATAGTGTGGAAACTGCTCGAAAATCGCGCTGCGGAAGTTCTTGAACTCTGACCACTTGAGATAATCATCCGGTTCAAATTGATGGCCCACGCCCGTGCGCCGGTCGTTGTCGGCTTGAAAGTCACCTTTACGCCCGTGATCTCCTTCCTTCAGATATGGGACGGGAGGAGATTGGTGGTGCTTGGTAGCGCGATGTGGTACTAGGCAGCGTGTTAGCAATGTGTGCTGTATGGAGCAAGCGGAGTGAACAGCCGAGATCTATGTTTAGACCGCCCCAGGAGGTATTCAGATGACTGTAAGGAAGTGTGCAGCGAATGAACCAACCCGCATTGCATCATGAGTATCCAAAGAAAAGCTATTACTTACTTGTGGTCTCATGGAAGTACGTCTCGCCCTTGCGATAACCTTGGCCAGATGTCGCTGTGAGCACGCGATCCTCATTACGTCCGCGAATGATTATCGAAGACCGGTCGGGATCCAAAGGATTCATGCCAGTAGTCTGCATGAAAGCATCGTGGCGGGACCCTTTGGCGTTATATACAGATGTTTGCCTTTCCGTTTGCGAAAGCGTTGGTATATTGTAGTCGACTAGGGTGCCTGTGAACTCATCCTCAGCCGAATGTCCGGTATTTGTAGCAGCCGTGTTTGTTAGTGCGTCACGCTTCTGAAGCTTCGTGTGTGGCCGGCCGTCCGGTGGCTCATCAGGTGCGCTTCTCTTCCGGTGACTAAATTGACGGGAGGTACTACTGTCTTTGATCGTAATTGGCGAGTCATGTTTTTTGTTGACAGGTGTAGAGGGAGTATTGGCCTGTATCGGTGTTCTCACACTGGAAAACGTCGGGGTGGTGGGGGCCGGGAAGGAGACGGCGTCATCAGCATCATCGGCTTCTTCTTCTTCGTCTGCGACTTAGACTGTCAGTATACCTGCACGCATTAAATAAGATGGGAAAGAAACCTACTAGATAGTGTCGACTTCGGGTTGCGTCCAAGAGCAAGTGTCTCCTTCTCTTCGATCCAGTTCGCCAGCCTTGATTTTGCTAGTCCCTCGTCCTTCAGCTCTTGCCTCTTCTCCGCGCCTGCATACTGCTCTACCATGTCAAGTAAGTCGTCCACGCTGTACTTGAGCAGGCCCTTGGATAAGCGAGCGTACGGCCTCCTTTTGTTGCCCAAGCCATCTTTGTTGTACAGTGGAATCCTCAAGCCGTTCGCCTCGTAGAACCTAGCCCCAGAAGTCCTCGTCGGAGTGGAAGATGTAGCTGGGGTCGTGCTTTTTGCCCTTGCCCTCGCAGTTGGTACAGTGGTACTCTTCTGCTTTGAAGGACTGCTCGCGTGGGATTCAGGAGCTTTTTTCTTACCCTTTCCTTTGCCTTTCCTCGGCGTAGCCAAACTCATGGCGCGCGCGACTTCGTTGTCGTCGATAATGTTCGTTCGGTCCATGATGTCTCAAAGTTAGATGATAGCTGCAATCCCTGAGGATGTGCGAAAGAGTGGAGGAGATAGAATGAGAAATCAAGCAATGTGAGATTGGTTGAGGGGCGAAAATATCCGTTTGTCTCTAACCCCATTCACAATGAAGTGAAGGCCGCGAATGCACCGCAGAGAAAGCCTGAGCTCTGCACAGTACACGCCTTCACTTTCGAACTGACCAAATACCGCGCGCTCATAGGGCCCCTGAACAACCAATGAGCGAATTTTCACATGAGGGCGCGCGCAGTATTTTAACTGGCCGGGCACGGAAGTGTTGCGCTATGTGGACCATGTGAGCACAGAGCGATTGATAGACGTTACCAAACGGTGATCTTGAAAGCTGGCGAGACTACAAAGAAATCGCGTTGACACAGTGCGACGATTGAAAATACCGAAAATCGAAGTACACACGTCCAAAGTGTGTAGTAATATCCTGAAGCTCGGGTAGCTTGCATGCTCACATGTCGAATGTCAGCCTTGGCTCAGTGTATCGCTACCATGGTTCTCAGTAGCTTGCGTGAGTTTCTCATGCTGTCTGCCACGTTCTCGATGGGACATTACGTCGAAGTATTGACAGAACATGGGATGAGACCACCATTTACCCTCGATCTGTGGTCATGATATGTCTTTTCACCGATACTATATTGGTTCCACCCTCTTGCTGAGTCCAAGTATTGTAGATGCTCTCTGGCGGGCGACGTAATCGGAAATTCTTAAGGAGAAGAGGTAACAAACGATGAAGCGACCGGAACAGGATCCAGTGGCATATGTTAGTGTATGGATTCTGACAATCTCGCTAGAGCGTCTGATGCGTCACCGCAGTACCGTGTTTGTTAGTGGAGGCTGACGATTTGGTGTGGCACGTCCTTTCCGTGGACATACTGCCGATAGTGTAGACGACCAGCATCTCGTGTATTCGTGACCATAGACCAGAGAATGTTGCGACGGAAAGTCATAATCTGAAGTTGGGACGTCTCGCATCGCAGAGTCGAAGTTGGCAAAGAGTTGCGGTCGGCGTGCCACGTGAGACGAGGCGGAACCGACCGCCGATCTAAAGGAGCCGAGGCATACCCGCCTCCAGCTTTCGGATCGTCATTTCGCGACTCTCCAGTTCCATCACCAACTTCAACCTGCGCGTGCTACTGGCATTGCGTATCGTGCAGTCAACATGGTCCGCGAGGATATAATACAGTCGGCGGTGTCTTGTAGGTTGACGCACGACACGCTCTACGCGACGATACTAACAGCCGCCAGTCCTCCAGGACCCGTCCGTTGCCAGCGCGCCCCTTGAGAAGCGCATCGCCTTTCTCCAATCCAAGAACCTCACACAAGAAGAAGTCGATGTCTCGCTCGCGCGTGCAGCCGAAGACCCCAGTTATGCCTCATCGCCTCCACCCCAGACATCCGCAGTAGCCAGCAATGCGTACAGACCACCACCAGCAGCCCCGTATGGGAGCTATCCTCCCCAACAATACTGGCAACCGCCCCCGCCGCCTCCGGAGTAAGCATAGAGATTACCTACATCCGGTTTCGATGCTGACAGATACAGACCGCCGAAACGCGACTGGCGCGACTACTTCATCATGGCAACGGTCATGGGCGGTGTAGGATACGGCCTCTACTTCACAGCGAAACGATACGTCCTACCCCTGATACAACCACCTACGCAGCCTCAGCTAGAGCAAGACAAAGCTTCAGTCGACGAATCCTTCAAGCGC